TATAGGGCATGCCCTAATTAATCAACATTTATCAATTTGAAATAACACCAGGAAAAGGAACCATTCATACAAGGCAGATTACCTAATGATGTGCAAGTATTGTAACAATCTCACTAGAGTTATCTCCCTTATACCATTATGTTGATGTATGTGTAGTAGTACATATACATGAACATGAGGGTGTAAGGGAGATAACTTTAGTGACACTGTTTAAGTATCTTGCATCGTAAATGTCTTTGATATTAAATTAATAAACCTTTATATATTTGTATGAAAAACAATTTTTTTTTAAGAATGAGCACAATGAAGCAGAAAACATGTAAGGAAACCCTTGATTTGCATGGATGCTTGATTGTACCACAGATTGATTAATTGACACATGCATGTACAGACAAGTGAATGAAATAAGGCAAGTTCAACTAATGGCAAATTTGCTCATAAACTGCGGTACACATGTTAAGATTGAATTTTCATAAAGTGCTTTGCTCCCATGTCTCAGGCTGATCCTAAAGAAGGCTTCGGGTAGGGGGTCAGAATATTTGTTGTGGGTAAAGTGCATTTTCATATAATTACATTAGATGATGTGCATAGCTGTAGTCTTTGGTCCCTGTGCATCAGTTTCAATACATCCCACAATACATTAGAGAATCAGATTATGTACCCAAGAAGGTTCCTTAATTATCACGCAGTGAAGTTTTATTCATATGACGTCAGAGATACTCAATTTTACTGGCACTAACACTTTATACTATCACTCCAAACACAGGGGTTCGTTACAAATGTCTGAAATACACATATGCTATGGACTTTTGTAACGAATCCCTGTGCTCCAAGAGCCTGGTTTAAAACAATCGATTCTATAACTGGATAAGTTGAAATCTCAAGAGTACATCTAATAATGCGAAAAGTCTGTCATCAAGGGAGCCTAACAGAAGTTACACGCCTTTATGAGATCCAAGTCACATAATCCACATATCTGGTTAACTAAAAGCTAGGCGTTACTTTACGAGTACTACTAAAGATAAGTTATGGATGGATAAAACCAATATACACGACCTGACATTTAGTCATTATATACATTCCTTACCTGAAGATGAAATTGTGTATCATCTGCTTGGAGGCGAAGTTAACTTAAGGTTAGACATTAATGAGTTCGAAGAATTTAGAATTACTTCTGTGGTAAATGTCTATAAAATGTTAACAATTTACAGCAGCTGATTTGAAAGTAAATCTGTATATCAATATGTTTAATAAGTAACTACAAAATTATTTATGACACTTTCTTTATTGATTCACATGCTTATATAACTGTTAGGGAGAATTTTATTGTACAGTGTACGCATACCTTACCATATGTCCAATAACATATTTATACATTTTTGTGACATGTATGTAATTATTCATTGTTTTGATTTGGCCATTGCATTATTTTGTATTTTTTAATATGAAATATATTGGAATCTTCATTTGGAGGAAATAAAGATAATAAGAATACGAAAACGTGGTGTCTAAGATCAAGCGTATTAATATTATAGTTATCGATTATAAATCTGAAAACGTGCACGTAGTAAGGGTCACATTGTGTGTTAAACGCCGAGCAGGGCGAGACTACCTTTTTTCTAAGGTGAGGCGAAAATTTGTGTGTGTGTAATGTTTTGATATCTATCCTCAAAACCGACCCGAGCGAGGCAGTTCTTTTCCTTGGTTTGTTGAAAAATAAATAAAGTTTTCGATGGCTGAGAAAAATTGGGTCCAAACCACCTTGCCCCATCCGCCCATAGAGGACGGACATGTAAAGTAATAGCCCCAGAGAACATACGTCGTTAACCTGGAAGCGTTCATCCAGCTGTACGATTAATGTTCAGACGTACGATTCACATACATGTGTATACTGTTTATTATTTGGAAGACTTATTAAAACTTAAGGTGGCTCCACACATCGTCATCAGTGTCCATTTTCGTGACGTACTTCCGGAAAAAAGTACAACTCGGACTATATTACCTCGATCGAAATGTGCACCGTGTCGTCATTTCCGTATTGCATATCGGGCATTTCAATATACATGTATCGTAGTGCAAATTATAGTAACACCTGGCAAACAATAGTACACGTGCGTGACGATGATATGTCAACACCCAATATCGAGTTTTTTCCTGGAAATGTGTAATCACACGTACTTCAGAAATAAAGCTTCCAATTCATAGACATAAACAGACTCACTCACGGGAAGACACTGACATGAGCCAGACGACCTCAAGAAGCACATGGCATGCGGACTGATGTGATTTCTGGACCGACCTCACATGTGCATATCACGTGCTTACACGAGCTAGTTCACAAGCTCGAGGTCGTTACGATTTTCACTCTGTCGATTAAATCGTTTTTACAATTGCAGTCTAGTTATTACTCTGTGAAAATAATGCTTTGTGAAATATCAAGATCCCTATGAAAATGCATGTTTGAGTGCATGTGATAGCCTGTGGGCACATATGTACCTGACATGTAAACAACCGTGCGTTAGCGAGCTGTGGAATGATGTCCAAAGTGTACATGACTGAGAGTAATTTGGTTCCCTCAAAGAACAATAAATTGATAATTTTGATATCATAATTTTGATTTATTACCATCATTTTTGTTATATATAACAGAGATAACGGTCATGGTGTAAATTTTATCCCTCTGACAACTTTTTTCACGGAGTACTACGGAAGCCTATACGTGTCATCTTGATTTTTTTTCTTTTCTCGTTATAACAAGATAGCTATCTCGTTATAACGAAATAGTTATCTTGTTATAACGAGATAACTATCTTGTTATAACGATATCAGCTATCTTGTTATAACGATATCAGTAATATTCCGTCTTTGCGTATTGCAGAGCTATCTTCTCTTGGGAGCAGGTATTGATTGTTACGTCACTTGTTTGTGAGAGTAACGTCATCAATTTTTGAGAAAACGACGTATTTTTCTCACACAAGCCAATGACGTAACAATCAAAACCTGCTCCCAAGAGAGGATAACTCTGCAATACGCAAAGACGGATATTGTTATGATTTCACTGTATCGGAACCTTACGATGTTGGTGTATTTCATTGTAAAATGCTGTCTCATATTATATGTTATTTTGAAGTACTGCACGATTTATGACTATTATCGTATACATGTATCATTGTAAATTTGTAATATACTGTACTATTTGTATGTCTACTCTCCGATGTGTCTTACACAAGGATTAAAACAATCTGAATCAGTCCTTGGATGGTGTTTATCTGATAGAAGAGCTTTGGGCATGTGAAGAAAGTTGGATATGATAGTTATAAGATACCTATAACATCTAGGAATTTGATTAATTAACTGATTAATTAACTGTTAAACACCACAATCTAAGTCACACATTACATTCTTACATTTTGTACAAGGTAATGTAGGCATCTTATAAATGTTACAATAATAAAGTTTATTTAAAGTACTAGAAAATGAAATCACACATTTCATCTTATCATATCAGCAGCACAAGGGCTGCAAAATGGATATATTTAATACTGAATATATATATTTATATATATGATTAATATTCAAATAATTTAAATTTTAGCATTTGTCATAACAAATCTGAAAACACTTATATAATGTATTATCAAATTAAATATGATAAAACACCACCTTAGATAGAAGGGTTAACCACAGGTAAAAACGGTGTCGTCTCACCTAGCATACATTTGGTATTTTCCTATATACAGGTAAGGTGTTGGATGTATGCTAGGTGAGATTTGGAGACAGTTAGAGAACAATAGGATTTAATTACAGGTAAACTATAGTCTGTACTATAAAAGGTAAAAACAGGTAAAAACACAGGTAAATACACAGGTAAATATTGCCCATATTACTTAGAAACAGACCACAAGGTTTAAGGTAACAAAGAATGAATGAATGAACTTAGAAACAGACTATAATCCTTCTAACAACAATCTTCCACCCATGTTATTTTAAAAAGTGGGGGAACCGAGAACAAGCCATGTTAATGAGCCTCACGTACAGGTACATTCAATTCAATTCAATTTATTTCCGCAAGTTATACAACTTATTGGATTTTCAACAAGTAATTTCATATAAGTACAACATATAATTACATATTACTGGCACATTGATCACAAAAAAGTGGCAACAACAACATCATCGAAATCATAATTCATCGCTTTCATCATCATCATCATCATCATCATCATCATCGTAGTGGCCGTCGTCGTCGTCTTATAACTCATCATCATGAAATAATCATCTCTTTAAATCAACATCAAATACTACATCATCATCCTCATCCTCATCATCATCATAATCATCATCGTAGTGGCCGTCGTCGTCGTCTTATAACTCATCATCATGAAATAATCATCTCTTTAAATCAACATCAAATACTACATCATCATCCTCATCATCATCATCATCATCATCGTCCTCATCATCATCATCTTCATCATCGTCAAAGTACAACAACATGACATAATTACATGAATTTCATACAACTGGTACATTTTTTTTACAAATCACCGATATTATTGAAATCATTACCACTTTCATCATCATCATCAAAATCATAATCATCATCATCATCATCATCATCATCATCATCATCATCATCATCATCATCATCATCATCATCATCATCATCATCATCAAAATATCAACATCATCGAAAACATCTATATCATCATCATAATCATCATCAACAACAAAAAACAACGTTGAGCATTTACCATCTTAAACATGAAAGATTGTTCGAACAAAACATGGACATGATACGATTGAGTAATACAAAATTACGTACAACAAACTTATAAGTTAAACAATTCTTCGTTTGTAAGCTTCAATAATAAATTTACCTAACAAATACATGTAGGGGCTTGTTCTCGGCTCCCCCACTTCTTGTATTTAAGGCTCATTAACATAACTCCATTGTTTTATGCTTGAGTGACGTAGACCCACTTGTGTGACTGACACCTGACTTCACATGATCTTACATATACTGTCTACTCGTCTGATGTATCACAGACCTACATGTCCAGTCACGTGGTTCGAACAAGTTTGTATCAAATATTAAGGCGTATGTCCCATACACATCACTGGACAATTTAAGTTAACGTTGGCTACTGTTGAACTGAGTTGTAACAGCCGACTGCTGTCGAAAAACAGTCAAACATGGGTGTATTTGGAGCTGCTAGTATGCCCTTTATAGCTGGCGTGGCCCTTTTAGGGAGCGCAATCCTCCATATTGTGTGTTTCATATCCCCTAACTGGGCAAACGATGGAACCCAGTCCCTGGGGCTGTGGCGATATGGGAAATGTAGGGAGCCAGGATTCCAAAATTGTTACAAGCATGATCATGTGGATACACAATTAAAAGGTAAGCAAATGTTATTCCAATTATATATTTTCTTAACAAGTGTTATATGACGCGGAATTAAATTGATTGAACGACTAGTCTTCTTCACGATTATATTGCAATATATTGATGAGAAAACATATCTTAATTGCTAAATCACAATTAAACAATTTCGAATTGCATGACACAATTCTATTGATCATAATCTTCTGTAAATTGACATCAACTTTTCTCTGCATATCGATCATACAGTGAAATTAAAAACTACATCGCCATTGTGTTCGTTCGATAAACCGTAGTCACACGGGCACAGGGACATGAAAGTTAGACACTTGCTGCATTTTCAGACTTTTCTGTCCGTGATACACAGCCAGACAGCATTATCAGAAAATGAAGTTTACTTCTTTATTGTTTAATGCAGAAACAAACAAAAACATAATTCATCTATGATAATGTTGGTATTATGCAGATAACATAGACAGTTGACGAGATCGTTCAGTTGTCAGTAGATATTACCATCTAATTAACGGTACACGTACTGGTGGCTGCGCGCGACAGCGATGATCTCGTTCACACCTGTAGAATATTAGTTGAGCTCGTTCGGCGATTGATTATACATGTATACTGCCCATGGGAATATTCGGACTCCACCATTTTAGAACGACTTTTAAAATTGAGTCCGCCGTAATGTACATCAGACTTTAATAGAAGAGTTTCCAATGTACACGTATCTATATATATTTGCTTCCACTTCGATAGACTGTAGTTATTTGAATAGACCAGAATCAATATCACAAACCCGGATTACATTGCATCTCATGAAATAGCCTACCTGGATTACCCCGACAACGGAAACCCATCAAGATTTCATTACAATACGCGTAACGTTCATTTGGCGGGAATGTCATGATGATTGATGGACAAGTTGAATATACGTCGTCTGCTTCATTTGAGTCACACCTTCAATACTGATAGCTGAAGGACAAGTTTGAAGCAAACTTGAAGTAAAACAGTAGTTTTTTTTAACCAAATGGACCGCAAAGCTGTGTTTTAGTAAACATTAATCTAAATTATTTACATAAAATCACCAACCGGAGTCGTATGGAAAACAGCGGCCTTAGTATAGATTACATTATAGTTAGCTTCTAAGCTATCCTATAAGGTAGAGAGTTATGTGAATACAGTAACGATAATGAAAACGATCCGTCAAGCTAAATATCTTTTTAACTTGATCCGCTTCCCGTTGGACCCAAAACGCACTTTTTTAAACGCACTTTGTTAGCTAAAACTAACGGTACATGTAAATTAAAAACGTTTAAATTGAATCATTCATGTGCGCATGCTTTGCAAATTCTACCTTAATTTTCATTCGAATATACTTTATACAATAAACATCTCTTCTTGCACGCATAAAAGTACGCCTAAAACAACACAGGGACCTGCATAAGACATTGTTACAGTTTAGCTATGTTTGGACCTAAACTGATCTGTTCAGGGTAATAGTAGACGTTTTAAGTGATTTTATCAGCTTTTGGTAAAAATGCCATCCACGATGATGGATAAACCAAAGTTCATGTACACCCCTAAACGTCTAAAATTACCCTGAACACACACGTTTCGGATCTGAACATAGTTAAACTATAAGGAACTCTCATGTCCCTGTGGTCTTGACTATGAAGTGACAGTAAAGACTCGGGTCTTTTTTTTCCAAAATCAGAATTTTTCACGGTATTCACTAACTCATCTATTGACAGAATTGAGGATTAGCATATTTTAACCACCGACACAGTTTTTTAACGTGGACATTTTCTGACGCCCTGCTGTTCGGTAGTTGACAAGTGTCGGTGACATTTTAGCCATGACTCAGATAGTGGCTGTACAAAAATCTTAAGGCTATCTAAGTCCCATTTCGAAGGTTTTATTCCGCAATTTTAGGCCTGGGCCCATTATTAGATGGTACATTCTTCCGGGGATGGAATGCGTCTATAGCAACAACAAAACAAGACACCCTATTTTTGTTACAATATATACGTATTATCCCGGTAACCCGCACCCTTAAGTTATATTCTGGTGGCAGCGGGCCTTTCTACCTGACTTCAACATTTCTAGTACATTATGTATATTTACAATATCTAACCACCCAGGACGACGTATTATTTTAACAAGAAGAAACAGACATTTCGGGCTACTATTTTTATCAGTTAAATTATCTTCGAATTCATTTTTGTCATAAATAAACTCAAAACTCGACAACTTGAATTGAAGATTATTGCTGATGGGATCTTTCTATTTTATAATTAAAAAAATATTTATTTCGTTTCTTGTGTGTTGTTTCATTATACAGTAGGCGTAATATATTTTCATTTTAAATAGCATGCTTACATTTTACCTTTGCGATAACATCCTCTGCTCCTTCATGCTCCGATGTTATTAACGCTGCATACCTCTGACTGTATTAGGGCGTTGTCTTGGTGACACAGGTAAAACAGGTTTTGGACGGAAAAGGCTGGGTTTCAATATCTGTTTATCCCCACACGGGTGTTCGTTTCATTGAAATATATTCGACATTGACGTATTTGCATGCGATGTTGTTCATTTCTACCGCGGGACCACACCTACATATACAATACATGTCATGATTATTGTGTTGACTCAATAAACAATAATTGGGAAGGTTGAAAATCAAAACCTAGTACACATACACAGGTATATGAACAAATACAGACGCCTTGTTCAAATTCACGATATTTTTTCATAATGCACTAACGGAAGCGCACCTTTTTATGGTTCATAGTCATTACTTGATCGAGTAATATCCTGTTTTTCAGTGCTCTGCAGAGTCTGTCTTCCTAAGATTGCCTGATAAATGTGTCTAAATCGGACCAGTCATCGGAACGTCAAAAATGAACTGTTTATGCTATATGAACCTTACCCAGCGTTTCCTCTGGCCCTGACACCAGACTTTGACTGTCTTTAGAAGTCTGGTGTCAGGGCCAGAGGAAGCTCGGGCTATAGAAAACTGTATACATACCAATCTGAAGTAATTTTTTAGAAACAAAATGTACGAGTTTTTTTGTCATTTTTTTTGTGTGTCATTTGATATTTGTCATCATGCTTCCAACAAACAATATGATACATAACTTTACAATTTTATTTGTGAAAAAACAGCGTTTTCGACTTCAAATTTGAATTGGAATGTACTGCTGGCAATATGGATACTAAATAGAACCATAAAATACTTCAAGAGCTCCTGAAGACGGTCAGGAGGCCAAAAATTCGAAGTTTTGAATGCTGTTGTTTAATATTGACATACGTAAACTCCTCTGTTCAACAAATATGGTTTCAGTTTAGATACTAAAAAAATATGAGTGTTTAGTTTTAGCTTTTGAAATCTTTTACAATCGACCAAATCATCAAATTAAAATCCGCAGCAATATTTGCATTTAAACCGCTCTGATTACTGTATAATGCACGGTTGCGTCTTGTCTGTCTGAGACAAGACGTGACCTTGACGTGACCCAATAACTTAGTTAAGAGTCTCTATCATGTGCCCCCAATCCTCGTCAATAATCGTTAGGAACTTATTCACATGATTGATTTTAGTACGTTTCGAATCTATTGGGGCACAATGACTACTGTTTCAAAAATACGAGTTACATTTCAGACAGAATTCGAAAAACACAGGTGCGTACACCCTTTATTTAAAATGCTTATATTAACATGTACCATAGTTTTTATCAAGTCCGATAACTTGTTTTTTTATTTGTTTTACATTTAGTTGGTTAGGTGGCGACGGGAATATTTTTTTTCGGATGAAATTAGGCGTTTCATGGGCTTATATTACCAACCACAATCTAAACAAAACACACCTCACGTCTTGAACACACATCCTCTCCCTAAGTGGGTCTCAATGTGGGAGGGAACCACAAGTTTACAAGTTTCACAAGTTTTATTTTACACCCATGACACACGCCTTTTCAAGCTCATCTTGACGGAAGGCGAGTGCGCCATACACTGCGGTACCGATGAAACGTTTTTCTTCTTTAAATGTTAGTATTTTATTTTCCTACGCACCGGGCAATATGTTTCAACGTTTAAGTATAGTGAATATAAGTCGAAATCGCGCCATTGTGATTCGGCATCTAACCTGTTAGTAAATGTCTCTTCATTTTAGATTTTTTTCACGATCGTGAAGCCTAGCACCCTAAACTTTATTCCTGACGTTACATTTGATGCCATTTAGTCCAGGTATGTGTTGCTCTGTCAGACATTATGGCGATGTTAAATATTTTGATAACTTTCTATACAACAACAGACAACGCTATAGGCAATAACAGTATCAAGTTTGTAATCTACCCTCGTCTCTGTCCACTTGTTGACTTAATTAAATTCCGACAACCTTCTATTTAGGGACAGTTGGCTATTTATGTCTCACACTCGTCTGTGTCATACACAGGGACCGGACATGGTTTAATAGCCAACGACTTTGGGTATGCCATGGTGGAAAATATAACGAGGATGAGAAAATGTTGCTATAAAATAAACGAAAGTTTTCCAGCATTTGTTACCAATCCGTTTCATCGTACATTTCGGCATGTTAATGAAGCTGGTGCGTTGCAAGTGAAATACTGACGCCTCGGTCTATTGTTCGTAACAGTGACCTTGACCGTGACCTTCGACACTTTTAAAAGCATATTGCACATCTACATATATATCACAGTGTATCATTTCGTATTTTTTTTCAGAAAGATTTAGTCTTTCGGTCCGGAAGCGGAAGTGTGGACTGACGGACACCGTGATTACGCGGTGCGTTATACGATTTAATTTTCAGACTCATGTCAGGACCAGACTCATAAATAACTATTATATGTAAAATAATTATAGTTAAATCCTGGGTATCTCCAGCTCAATTATGTGTGTGTTTATGATGTCAGTTTCAACCCTGTCGTGAAAAAAGAACGAAATGTACAATGCCTTCCATGAAATAAATAACTACGTTACGGTGCATAGTCGTGTAAACAAGTAATGATTGAATGCATTTATGAATATATAGTGGTTATGCGAAAGCTAAAATGCTTTTACATATATTACTCATAGTTACTGAAACACCTGCTTGAGATCTATCGTAAAATTTTTGTCCCGTTACATCACAATTAACCCTCTGTTTGGACCTTTTGTCGGAAAGATTTTTTTATTATTTATAGCAAGTCTTTAAAAATCTTTCCGGAAGCGCCATATCTTTCTGAATTAATTTTGATATCAACGCTTCGAATGAACAAAGAGAAACTCTGTTCTGAGTCGGGATTCATATGTTGAAAAATTGACAGAAGTAAAAAAAAGAGTATGAAATTTCTTCATTTTATAATTATATGGTAACACTAGATTTATTATAATTGCCTAGCATCCCGATAGCCAATAGTATATATTATACGTACATAAAAGTTAGTTCTTAAAGGGTAACAACTTGCCAGATCTGTAATAGGGAGGCACTCCAGCATTTCTTAGCTTTATAAAGGTAAATTTCACATTTCGCCTTACCTGAAAGCGTAGATCCTATCTTGTATGCATCATTAAAGCAAAGGAATGTCATTCATGCGAATGATACCATCCGTACGGTCTTGTAATGACATCATCCCCGACAGGCATATATACATGTAATCGACAACCAACCCATTCACTATAGATCACAAGTGCAGAAAAATTCGGAAATAAACATCTTCAGTCCATTACAATGTACATTTCTAATTATATTCAAGGCCACACATATTGTGATCATGCATCGTAAGCAACAACGAGATCATGAACTGAATCTATTTTTAGACTTTGATTTGTTTTGTTTTGTCCTTTGTATGTTTGTTTGCTGGTTTCTTTGTTTTGTTGTTCTATTTTTGTTTGTCAGTGTTTCAGCTACGCTATAACGAACTGAAGGACATTTTCTTATTAAATGACAGTATATTTAAAAGGTATACACAAATGCAGGTGTCGATACCCATTAAAGTTAAGAAGTATTGACAAGTTTATGCAAATATAGCCGCTAAAAATCAGCCACCAACCTGTGAAAACGTTTAATTTATACTGTCTCTATATAATTTTAAGTACGATTACTCCAACATGAGTCATGCATGTTTCCATGATACCTTATGCTATGGCCTTATAGAAAATATCTACGGTCGCGATGTTCGAATAGCTAAATAAGGCGGCTGCATTTTGCAACCACTAGCCCTCCACCAAAGGGTCGCGGGCTCGAGGGCTACGTGCGACATTCGCCAGGTATAAACCCGCAGGTCGTTGGTTTTTCTACGGGTGTTCCGGCTTTCCTCCACCACCAAAACCTGGAAGGACGTGAAACACAAACAAACAAAATACAACAGGACGTCTGAAGATAGTTGGGTTTTCGTTTACCTACACCAAAATATATCTACTATGTATTACTTTTTTTTTTAAACAGGAACATTAAGAGGGGTCGGTTGGAATGAAGGTACTCGGGGGTTTTATATATACAGTACGCTATTCCGTTAAAACCTCGATATAACGACATTCGTATAATTTGCTCCCTGGCTTAACTCCAACGCATCTGAAGGTTATATTTTCCTTTTTATTCTTTATATGCCCCCTTCGATATATTGCCAGACAGTTATAACGCCAAAATTTCGCTCTGCAAATAAAAACAGTATAACAAGTTCTACGGCACTGTTGAACAAAATAGATGCCCACCTTGCTACGTACTCTAACTAATAACAACTGTAGCTATAAGAAACTGGTTCAAACTTTTCAGTCATCAGACTTTTAACCTATTTTGACAGCTTGATTGTCTGGGAAGTTGTCAAAAGATTACGGTCAAAGTTTGGTGTCACGGTTGGAGAAATTAGGGCTACAAAAAGGTCTTGTCAATTGTTGTATCTTGTGTGACTTGCGTGTACCCTCAAACGTTAATCGGAGATTCAGAACAAAATCACTACACGACATCTTTCGCTTAGTGTATACATGCTGGCCACAGACACGTGACACGTGTCACACATGAGACCTGAAGATTTGTTACAGCTATATTTGGACCTGAAGTACGATGTCAGAGTAATTTTACTTTCGGTAAAAAAACAAAACACCCCTAATGATGATATATACACGTACGAATCATTGGGGGGCATTTTTACCGAAAGTTGATATCAACCCTTAAAACGAGTAAAATTACTGTGAAAACTGTAGTGTACGTCCAAATATAGCTGTAACAAATTCTCAGGTTCCTGTGACGTGTCATACTCAAGTAAAAATGTTACTAAAACCGTCACCAAATAAAGCTGCTTCTATAATGGCATGACTAGACCGCTCAGAATAATGGACACAACATTCACCTTACCATACTGATTACTTTGACTGTCTCTCCAATAGTCGTCGCTGGCTTTTTCTTTCTTTTCTTTTTATACTTAAATATGTAGTCATAAAACTTTATATATTTTAAAACGTGAAATATTGCCGAAAACCGGCGTGAATAGTCTTGAACTCATCTTTTAGTAGACCAACTGTGCAACGCCCCAACAACGGGCGAAGTTGAATGAACTGTTTTACATCAAAAGTATGATAATTGAACGGAACAGTATGACTTCCTCCGAACCGGGGCAGCTCCTTACATGCACAGACACAACATTTAATAAGATACATATTCATAAAAAATGAAAACTTCCGTCGCCTGTCAACACGACATGAACTGAATACCAGGGAAAGTGATATCGACATGAGATGTCTTTGTCCGTGTGAAATATATCTCGTGATAATGACCCCGTGGTACTGGAAATGAAATTCTTTATAGTGTGTTTACGCATGCGTGTAGAAAACTGGAGTATGTTTCATTCAATGATACTCAGCTCCGTAAAATAAACACGAGTGTGTCAAATTCTTTAAAACTTAAAGTTGTGACATGTGGAACTTTGCGTGATATACATGTACATGTATATAAAGATTTAGTCTCGCTCCACTGAGCGACTGGCATATAACAACACAACGCAAGTATCTATTTTGCCGCTAGCCCGCCGAAAGGACGTAGAAATGTATTCTTGGAACAAACATTGAATAATTAAGGTTAATGTTTCAACACTTTAAAATGCATCGTTGATAGCGGTTATATTTTTTGGGTTTTATTTTCCCAGTATACACATTATAAACAAACTCACGAAAGTTGAATGAAACATTTTACAGATGCAGAACAGAAATCATGAATTAAGATTGAATTTTCAGTATTACTGTACACCTTTTTAAAAAAAATGCACTTTTTCAAAGTGTCAACATATTTGTCTATTATTCTGTCTGTATACCTGGCACCTGCGGCTCTGGTTGCGGGGAAATTATTAAAACAAGGACCTGAGAATTGGTTTCAGCTATATTTTGGCCTAAACTAAGGTGTTCAGAGTAATTTTACACATTGATGATACGGTATACCGAATTATATATACGATATACAAGTTGATCTAAACCCCTAAACCGTGTAAAATTATTATGAACCTAATTAATTATAGCTGTATTCTCAGGTCCCTGTGGGTATTGCATCCTTTACATAAACTATGTACATCTAACATAAAACGTTTTACTTGCAGACTGGTTCCTGGTGGTGCGGGCCATGAGTTGTCTGGCTGTGATTGGTCTGTCCCTACCCCTCGTTATTCTGCCAGTCTACATGTATATCGCCCTCGGCATGTACTACCGTAGGATGATGGCCTTCATGTCATTCTGTAGCATCATGGCAAGTAAGTACCCTCGTTATAACGGCAGTCTAATAGAACGAATTTGGTAACCCTTCTCTATACTGACATAAATAACAGAGGATGATGGATTCCATTGCAACTTTCTCTCGTTTTACTGACAAAACATTTAGCAGAGGGTTGTGACATTCACATTCGTAGCATCATCCCTCGTTTAACTGACGTTAGCATTTACATCTCTTGATGTAAGCATTTATTTATTGTATATGATATCCTGGTCAGCTACTATATCCCTCGTTTTGATAAAAAATATATATTAGGACATGATGATTAAGTGCTTGAGGTGACCCCCGTTTTAAAATTTCTGAATCACGGGAGGAAAATTTCATTTAATTAATGTTCCGGGTGTTTTCACACAGAAAATAATACGCCGATCATTCATGTCGTTCTTTTAAACTCTAACCTACTAGAGCAGTGCGGAATAGCCGGTCCATTGAATGGTCTGACCGTCCATTATAGTATCTATTACGAACTTAACTTGAACAAGGCGAGACGAATACATGGCTCCTTTAAACGATCGTGTTACACACCGACAAAATGTCAACATGTATGCTGGACACTTATTGAGAAAACTCAAGTCGAAATGGAGCGATTTGGGGGAGTTTTTCTCTAACCCGTCAAGGTTTAGGGTCGGAGGGTTGGAGATATTCTCACTAACCCAGATCACTTTTGCTTGTTATTCTCGCAACTGTGCCTTACGGTCAGCTGGCTAGTGTTGCTATAAACAATATACTATTCTGTCGCTAAACGTTAGTGGTATTTCCCTAATGAAAGCGCTGAAACAACCTATCTACCTGATTGTTAAATATGAAAAAGCATTAGCGGTGATATTCAAAACGGGTTACAATGAATTAAAAACTTTAGCGAACAAACTATTTTCGCGATTGTTCTTGAAGCGATGCTACCGCTTAATTTCAATTATGAAGAAGGGTTATCGGTTAATATCTTTATATTACATTTGTATAAAATAATCGGTCAGAATAAATGTTCCCTTCTTATAAATGTAATCAAAAATCGACTCTCATCATAAGTAATTTCCTGAAAATATACCTCTCGCGGAAAAGAGTGGTTTACAATATTCTGAACAATATTTATTACTTTACAAATAATTATTTCAGTGATAGAAATAGCTTACTCCTCCATATTTTATGTATATTTTACTTAATAGAGAGACCGTCGATTTAATCTATAGAGCTACAAAGACCATACACATAGAAGCACGTTTGTTGAAAGAAATGACCTTGACCCACTTTCAGTGTTACAGAGGTCAAATATGTTTAAATATTAAAATTACTCCTAAAGACCTTTAAGGTCTTGTCCATGACTCTCAACCGTGTCCTCCTCCATACAACAGACACAGTGTAGACAGCATTTTACCATCCGGATGTTCGTAGGAGTCGACTTCAAAGAAAAAAATCTCTCAGCAAGTGACGTCAGAGCTCGTTCATTGTTGTACATAAATCATCAATCGGTTTTAAACTTTGTTATGCAGGTAAACTATTTGTAATTTAGAGGCGTGATATGCAATGACTAGTGGTAAAGATGCAGTGAACTGCAATAAAATATTTGATAAAAGGCGTTACTCGCATGTTTATTGATGTGATATTTGAAAAGTAGTTACACAGATAATTTCATTTCTTACTTCGTTGATATAACGACGACTGAATAAACACATGTTGTCATTTTTTTTTTTAAATTTCATATTAAAACCTTTTTACACAATAACCCCAGTGGAGGCGTTTAAATGTTATTGCCGAATTTTAAATCTCGCTTTTTTAAAACACTTAATGAAATTGCATAATTTCAATGAAGACGACTTCACCTATGCTGTACTTGGAGTAAGCATGCTATTGTCGATTTTAACTTTAGACTGTATAGATTGGAAACTTACATCTAACAGACATACAATGTACATGGTATCACCAACCTTCCGCTTGACCTTTATAAACTGGTTTTATATACATTGTATATCCATGAGGTAAGATGACCGTCGTCTTGGTCGTCAAAGACTAGCTTCACTTGAACAGCGAGGTTAAGATGACATCATCTACCTTTACCTCGAGGTACAAATGTCTATGTGGTCAACCCTTTCACCACTGTAGACAATAGTGGACTCATCCCAATAAACGCATGGTAAAGTCTACTAAAGGTACCTTGGGGTGAAAGGGTTCAGATACCATAATTGATCTTGAATTCAACAGACAAGTTTTACAAATGTCCTTGAGGAACCTTGACCTCTTTAAATGAGTTGAAAATGTCCATGTGGTTTAGATACCAACATTGACCATGACCTTGCTGGATGAGTTAAAATTATCTACATATTTTAGATGTCATCGTTGACCTCTTTAGATGAGACCTTGACCTCTCTTGATGAGTTAATATTATAAATGTCAATATAGTTCAGATGTCATCGTTGACCTTGACCTCGGCCAGTACGGAGTGAGGGACATTGCTGACCAGGGAGTCCCCAAGGTTGTTCCAGATTTTGTACTCCATGCCGGTCAAATACTTCTGCACTGAAAAAAGTATAACAAAATAGTTTTATAAATCAATATGAACAAAAGAATCCATTACTGCCTCTGACTTCAGATAAATGTCATTGAATTAAAAGATTTAAAGTAACTATATTGGGTGCAGAAAAAAATCTTTATAAAGCTATAGAACAGCGCAACAAGAAGTCTTTGCTATGGAATTTTTTTTTAGTGTAAACAAATAACTTTTTGTTAAATATTAAACAACAGATGATTTCCAAAAGGGAAAAAAGAATAAAAACAAGAAGACGATGTCATCGATATATCCTGCTTCCAGTGCGAAAGTTATTAAAAACATGAAGCGTAAAACAAAGGTCAAAATCATTTCCGCAATAGGCATTCAGTAGAGCAACCCTAGATACACAATTGATGCAAGTATAATCAACATAGCACTTGTAGTAGGCAAGATATAGATAGGAGCGAACAAACTATTTTCGCGATTGTTCTTGAAGCGATGCTACCGCTTAATTTCAATTATGAAGAAGGGTTATCGGTTAATATCTTTATATTACATTTGTATAAAATAATCGGTCAGAATAAATGTTCCCTTCTTATAAATGTAATCAAAAATCGACTCTCATCATAAGTAATTTCCTGAAAATATACCTCTCGCGGAAAAGAGTGGTTTACAATATTCTGAACAATATTTATTACTTTACAAATAATTATTTCAGTGATAGAAATAGCTTACTCCTCCATATTTTATGTATATTTTACTTAATAGAGAGACCGTCGATTTAATCTATAGAGCTACAAAGACCATACACATAGAAGCACGTTTGTTGAAAGAAATGACCTTGACCCACTTTCAGTGTTACAGAGGTCAAATATGTTTAAATATTAAAATTACTCCTAAAGACCTTTAAGGTCTTGTCCATGACTCTCAACCGTGTCCTCCTCCATACAACAGACACAGTGTAGACAGCATTTTACCATCCGGATGTTCGTAGGAGTCGACTTCAAAGAAAAAAATCTCTCAGCAAGTGACGTCAGAGCTCGTTCATTGTTGTACATAAATCATCAATCGGTTTTAAACTTTGTTATGCAGGTAAACTATTTGTAATTTAGAGGCGTGATATGCAATGACTAGTGGTAAAGATGCAGTGAACTGCAATAAAATATTTGATAAAAGGCGTTACTCGCATGTTTATTGATGTGATATTTGAAAAGTAGTTACACAGATAATTTCATTTCTTACTTCGTTGATATAACGACGACTGAATAAACACATGTTGTCATTTTTTTTTTTAAATTTCATATTAAAACCTTTTTACACAATAACCCCAGTGGAGGCGTTTAAATGTTATTGCCGAATTTTAAATCTCGCTTTTTTAAAACACTTAATGAAATTGCATAATTTCAATGAAGACGACTTCACCTATGCTGTACTTGGAGTAAGCATGCTATTGTCGATTTTAACTTTAGACTGTATAGATTGGAAACTTACATCTAACAGACATACAATGTACATGGTATCACCAACCTTCCGCTTGACCTTTATAAACTGGTTTTATATACATTGTATATCCATGAGGTAAGATGACCGTCGTCTTGGTCGTCAAAGACTAGCTTCACTTGAACAGCGAGGTTAAGATGACATCATCTACCTTTACCTCGAGGTACAAATGTCTATGTGGTCAACCCTTTCACCACTGTAGACAATAGTGGACTCATCCCAATAAACGCATGGTAAAGTCTACTAAAGGTACCTTGGGGTGAAAGGGTTCAGATACCATAATTGATCTTGAATTCAACAGACAAGTTTTACAAATGTCCTTGAGGAACCTTGACCTCTTTAAATGAGTTGAAAATGTCCATGTGGTTTAGATACCAACATTGACCATGACCTTGCTGGATGAGTTAAAATTATCTACATATTTTAGATGTCATCGTTGACCTCTTTAGATGAGACCTTGACCTCTCTTGATGAGTTAATATTATAAATGTCAATATAGTTCAGATGTCATCGTTGACCTTGACCTCGGCCAGTACGGAGTGAGGGACATTGCTGACCAGGGAGTCCCCAAGGTTGTTCCAGATTTTGTACTCCATGCCGGTCAAATACTTCTGCACTGAAAAAAGTATAACAAAATAGTTTTATAAATCAATATGAACAAAAGAATCCATTACTGCCTCTGACTTCAGATAAATGTCATTGAATTAAAAGATTTAAAGTAACTATATTGGGTGCAGAAAAAAATCTTTATAAAGCTATAGAACAGCGCAACAAGAAGTCTTTGCTATGGAATTTTTTTTTAGTGTAAACAAATAACTTTTTGTTAAATATTAAACAACAGATGATTTCCAAAAGGGAAAAAAGAATAAAAACAAGAAGACGATGTCATCGATATATCCTGCTTCCAGTGCGAAAGTTATTAAAAACATGAAGCGTAAAACAAAGGTCAAAATCATTTCCGCAATAGGCATTCAGTAGAGCAACCCTAGATACACAATTGATGCAAGTATAATCAACATAGCACTTGTAGTAGGCAAGATATAGATAGGAGCGAACAAACTATTTTCGCGATTGTTCTTGAAGCGATGCTACCGCTTAATTTCAATTATGAAGAAGGGTTATCGGTTAATATCTTTATATTACATTTGTATAAAATAATCGGTCAGAATAAATGTTCCCTTCTTATAAATGTAATCAAAAATCGACTCTCATCATAAGTAATTTCCTGAAAATATACCTCTCGCGGAAAAGAGTGGTTTACAATATTCTGAACAATATTTATTACTTTACAAATAATTATTTCAGTGATAGAAATAGCTTACTCCTCCATATTTTATGTATATTTTACTTAATAGAGAGACCGTCGATTTAATCTATAGAGCTACAAAGACCATACACATAGAAGCACGTTTGTTGAAAGAAATGACCTTGACCCACTTTCAGTGTTACAGAGGTCAAATATGTTTAAATATTAAAATTACTCCTAAAGACCTTTAAGGTCTTGTCCATGACTCTCAACCGTGTCCTCCTCCATACAACAGACACAGTGTAGACAGCATTTTACCATCCGGATGTTCGTAGGAGTCGACTTCAAAGAAAAAAATCTCTCAGCAAGTGACGTCAGAGCTCGTTCATTGTTGTACATAAATCATCAATCGGTTTTAAACTTTGTTATGCAGGTAAACTATTTGTAATTTAGAGGCGTGATATGCAATGACTAGTGGTAAAGATGCAGTGAACTGCAATAAAATATTTGATAAAAGGCGTTACTCGCATGTTTATTGATGTGATATTTGAAAAGTAGTTACACAGATAATTTCATTTCTTACTTCGTTGATATAACGACGACTGAATAAACACATGTTGTCATTTTTTTTTTTAAATTTCATATTAAAACCTTTTTACACAATAACCCCAGTGGAGGCGTTTAAATGTTATTGCCGAATTTTAAATCTCGCTTTTTTAAAACACTTAATGAAATTGCATAATTTCAATGAAGACGACTTCACCTATGCTGTACTTGGAGTAAGCATGCTATTGTCGATTTTAACTTTAGACTGTATAGATTGGAAACTTACATCTAACAGACATACAATGTACATGGTATCACCAACCTTCCGCTTGACCTTTATAAACTGGTTTTATATACATTGTATATCCATGAGGTAAGATGACCGTCGTCTTGGTCGTCAAAGACTAGCTTCACTTGAACAGCGAGGTTAAGATGACATCATCTACCTTTACCTCGAGGTACAAATGTCTATGTGGTCAACCCTTTCACCACTGTAGACAATAGTGGACTCATCCCAATAAACGCATGGTAAAGTCTACTAAAGGTACCTTGGGGTGAAAGGGTTCAGATACCATAATTGATCTTGAATTCAACAGACAAGTTTTACAAATGTCCTTGAGGAACCTTGACCTCTTTAAATGAGTTGAAAATGTCCATGTGGTTTAGATACCAACATTGACCATGACCTTGCTGGATGAGTTAAAATTATCTACATATTTTAGATGTCATCGTTGACCTCTTTAGATGAGACCTTGACCTCTCTTGATGAGTTAATATTATAAATGTCAATATAGTTCAGATGTCATCGTTGACCTTGACCTCGGCCAGTACGGAGTGAGGGACATTGCTGACCAGGGAGTCCCCAAGGTTGTTCCAGATTTTGTACTCCATGCCGGTCAAATACTTCTGCACTGAAAAAAGTATAACAAAATAGTTTTATAAATCAATATGAACAAAAGAATCCATTACTGCCTCTGACTTCAGATAAATGTCATTGAATTAAAAGATTTAAAGTAACTATATTGGGTGCAGAAAAAAATCTTTATAAAGCTATAGAACAGCGCAACAAGAAGTCTTTGCTATGGAATTTTTTTTTAGTGTAAACAAATAACTTTTTGTTAAATATTAAACAACAGATGATTTCCAAAAGGGAAAAAAGAATAAAAACAAGAAGACGATGTCATCGATATATCCTGCTTCCAGTGCGAAAGTTATTAAAAACATGAAGCGTAAAACAAAGGTCAAAATCATTTCCGCAATAGGCATTCAGTAGAGCAACCCTAGATACACAATTGATGCAAGTATAATCAACATAGCACTTGTAGTAGGCAAGATATAGATAGGAGCGAACAAACTATTTTCGCGATTGTTCTTGAAGCGATGCTACCGCTTAATTTCAATTATGAAGAAGGGTTATCGGTTAATATCTTTATATTACATTTGTATAAAATAATCGGTCAGAATAAATGTTCCCTTCTTATAAATGTAATCAAAAATCGACTCTCATCATAAGTAATTTCCTGAAAATATACCTCTCGCGGAAAAGAGTGGTTTACAATATTCTGAACAATATTTATTACTTTACAAATAATTATTTCAGTGATAGAAATAGCTTACTCCTCCATATTTTATGTATATTTTACTTAATAGAGAGACCGTCGATTTAATCTATAGAGCTACAAAGACCATACACATAGAAGCACGTTTGTTGAAAGAAATGACCTTGACCCACTTTCAGTGTTACAGAGGTCAAATATGTTTAAATATTAAAATTACTCCTAAAGACCTTTAAGGTCTTGTCCATGACTCTCAACCGTGTCCTCCTCCATACAACAGACACAGTGTAGACAGCATTTTACCATCCGGATGTTCGTAGGAGTCGACTTCAAAGAAAAAAATCTCTCAGCAAGTGACGTCAGAGCTCGTTCATTGTTGTACATAAATCATCAATCGGTTTTAAACTTTGTTATGCAGGTAAACTATTTGTAATTTAGAGGCGTGATATGCAATGACTAGTGGTAAAGATGCAGTGAACTGCAATAAAATATATAATAAAAGGCGTTACTCGCATGTTTATTGATGTGATATTTGAAAAGGAGTTACACAGATCATTTCATTTCTTACTTCGTTGATATAACGACGACTGAATAAACACATGTTGTCATTTTTTTTTTTAAATTTCATATTAAAACATTTTTACACAATAACCCCAGTGGAGGCGTTTAAATGTTATTGCCGAATTTTAAATCTCGCTTTTTTAAAACACTTAATGAAATTGCATAATTTCAATGAAGACGGTTTTCAATTATGAATAGATAAACCAAAACACTTATTTCGTGACGTCAAATATTTATTTCAAATATTATTGAAATATTTCTAAATAAACATGTGGACCAATGGCGTTTTTTAAAATGATTGTGTTTGGTCACTTCATTCTAAAAGCCTCCTGTTACATTGTCCGCCGTCAAATACCGACCTTTAACAATTCAAGTTAACATTTTTTTCCCTCAGGAACAGAAAGAATTAGAACTCAAATATTTGACTGTAGCTTTCTAAAATGAAAGACAATCAACACTTTGTTAAATAAATGACCTTGACCCACTTTCAGAATTTATTAAAATATGCTTTTAAACATTAATGAGATCAAGAGAAAAACTATTTGCCCTGTAGTTTATTGACATAAATGAATATTTAGTTTGTTGAAAGAAATGACATTGACCCACTTTCAGTGTAAGAAAGGTCAAATCTGTAAATTTTAAAATGACCTCTAAAGATCTCTAAAGGTTTAGTGTATAATTATCAAGAAATATAATTGCGTTTTGACACGCCTACTTCAAAATTCCACCCAACTATCTGTAAGCTGACCAGAACCATATGTGGTTACAATACGAATTCATTTTCAAATCCCAGGGGTTTCAGCTATAACATTGCTTCTACGTGTATATAGTCATACTCTACATTTGCTGCCATATATTAATTGTTCTTTCAACAAAATCAGTCTCATAATCAGCATGAAACGTGAGTCTGAACTATCACCTTTTGGCGTAGGCGTGTAATATCGTCTCCATCCATAGTTAACACATTTGGACATTGTCGACTTCTTCTCAGAAATAGATAGACTAATTCAAACCAAATTTGACAGGCAACTCTCTTGGACTATGTACAAACGAAAAAAAATGTAAAAAAATGATATTCTAACCATGATCCCATTTTCAAACGAAACATCTGTAAACTTTTTATTATCAATTTCCCAAACACAAGTTTTTATGAATTAGTCGTTCACAGAGTTTTTACAGAAACTCTGATATTTTAATCTTGTATTCAGTCATTTTATAATTACATTTTCAGCCCTCACCATAGCGGCCGCGGTAGTGGTGTTTGTCATCGGAGCCACAGACAAGGGTTGGTCCTTAGAATGGTGTTTCATCGTCGAAATCATCGCCGGTCTCTTTGCTTTCATTGGCTTTGTGGTTTTCCTGGCGGTGCTTCTGACAAGACGTCCAGCAGGTCTGAAACCAACCTATTACCCAAGCACCATTCACGTGGATCCGGACAAGCCAAAACTGTATCTTGTGCAAACCGAACCGTACTGACATTTTTTGTAATATCTACAACATGTATAGCGCTTATATATGTGTCATGCCATAACAAAGATATGCGATACCAAAATGATTGAAGATCAAAACGGTCATCACACCTACATGAAATAAATACTTTTAGCGTGTGCTACCGTGAACTTCAAACTACTCATGTAAACAAAATTGATGTTTCATATGTATATATTTACATTCGCGTGCAGACGTTTTGGTGATGGATTTAAACAAGGTAAATATGTACAACTAGTCTTTATATTTAGTTTGTTCTGAGATCACGAAACATCAAAACGTTTTACTTGTTCAGCTGTACATTTCCACGTTAGTGAAATTGGCAACGTCATATTTCGTGAAATATACATTGGTATACGTTTCAGTCGGTGTACACCAAAGCAAAGATTTAGAGATACTTTTCTGTGCACGAAGGGATTATTTTGGGACAGTTTATCAAGGATTTTGGCGGAGTTATATGAAAATGATTTATAGCATATGGTTGAAGGGTACTGCGACGTCGGACAACGATGCATGTTCATTAGTGGCAATGCTATTAAATATATGTCAAAATACATGTGTATATGAAGAGAACAAGGCCTTTGATATTTTCACCGTTTATCGTCATATCTTTCAATGAACGTGTCTTACTTTCATTTATAATAATTGTCCAAAGGGCCAAGACAAACTTTATGGACGATAAAACACTCGTAAAGGTATTCTTACCTAACGATATTATGTGAAAATATTATGGCAATAATAGACTCTTCCGCCCATAAATATGCCCCTGTGTAATGCAAAATATTCTTGAATATATTTCAGGACAAATTCCGATTTCTGCATAAAGCAGGTGGCTTTTTTCATATTACAGCCTGCTTACGACATGTTATAGCTTGACAAAGTAGGTCAAATTTTGATTTTATACAAATTTATGTATTTTATTAAACATAACGTTGTAAAGTCTGTGTTTGATTTCCTATTTTTTATATGAAATTCCATGTTTAAAATTTGTCTTCACATTAGACTATACAGGGTTTCATAAGACCCTATGCAGACTTTAGCCCTTTGAGAACATGGCACATTGCCAGTGAACAAATACATGTATTTAGGAAGAAATACCTGGTAGTTTTATTAAACTGAAATAGAACAAGATATTTAATGGGCCGGTATCACTCACCTATTATTTAAAGTTGTTTACAAACTCATCTCTGTGACCATTAAAGTGGGTCAAAGTCAAATATATTTCAAAAAATTTGATACACTACAAACTCAATAATGCAACTGATGTTTTTAACTCGTACATTCAAGAGTGGTACAAAGTATTTTCAAAAAAAAAAAAAAAAGATTGATAGCTTCCACTCCAGCATGCTACATACCAAATATCATGACCGTAGTCCTCTTTGTTATTCAGAAGAACTTGCCAGGGGCGTTTCTAGGATATTTGAAAGAGGGGCGTATAATAAAATCCGAGCGGAGCGATGCGAAAAAAAAATAGGACCTTTTTTTTGCTAAAAAACATAAAATAATTGTGAAATTCACTAATGTAACGGTTCCTGACTTGGAGCATGTATATTTTATACGGCGGAGAAACGAAATTTTACGGATCACCCATCGGATGGGGGAATCAGTATTAAAAGAAATCAGAGTATGTGTTTAATTAATGAATGTGATAAATTGCCATATTCAATACAATATTAGCAGATCACGAAAGTTTTTTTTTTTTTTTTTGAAAAGGGGGGGTTACGCCCATTACGCCCTCACCTGGACCCGCCCTTGCTTGCTGAAGCGTTTTAACAAATCTAACTCGTTTGACCTGTAACATTGATGATAAGGGAACATGTACAAACTTCTTGTCAACTTTGTAGCACTCCAGTTCTGCAAATTTCTGGACAAATATCATAGTCCTGACTTGTTGTTTCTTTCAGAAAAAAAGTTGCCGAAGTGGTTTAACAAATTTGACCCTAGTACATAAAGGTTAATGTCACTTTTTTCTGCAAATTTTGGATTACTCAATTCCAGTAATACACTGGCCTAATATCATGTCTCTACATCATTTAGTTCTTAAGAAGAAAATCATTAGTGTTTTTAACAAGTTTGCTCCCTGTGACCTTGAACATAAGTCAGAATTATTTCTTTTTGTAGAATGTGTAGCATTGAAAGTCAACAAGCCTCTGGCCATATATCATGATGGTAGACTTTCTGGTTCATAAGAAGCTGTTTGAAGCTTAATTTACATTATTTGACCTCAGTAACCTTGAAGTAGGTAATGAGCATTTTATATGCACACTTTCTTGAGCTCCATCACAGGAAGCTACTGGCCAAATAAATATCTAGACACAGCACCCTATGATTCTTAGAAAGCTCAAAATCCTGATGCCATTAGTCACTCCAGATTCGTGTCTGACTGATTTTTCTCGAAACATTTCCAATGTGGGAACTACCAGGAAACTCCAATGCATGCAAGAAATAGGGCATTTTATTGGCCCCCATTTTATTTAAGAGTCGGGTGGTCAACCCAATCCAATTAAATACGCTGCTAGGTGGACAAGGTGTAGTACTATTATAATGCTATTTGATTTGAAGTACAAGATAATTATCCTGACCAATGTGTGCTGAGGAACATCAAATAAAATTTTGACAAAATTTTCCCTTCCTATTCGCTACTCTCCAACTTATTGATTGGCATGGAGATTTGTTTAATTTCTACTAGATTTGAAATCTGACTTCCCTTAAAACGTACTGTGAAATCTCACATATAATGTGCCCCATGTTTCATTTGTCTTCTCACAGTCTACCAGAAACATACTTCAAGGTCCATATTTTCCTAAAAAAATCTTATTGGTTAAATCACGGAATTAGATTCCGTGGTTAAATACAATAACACACACCCACACTGAAACTGGTGACACCCGAGCTATGTTGTGATTCGAACCCATCACCCTGCATACCCTTCCGTACCCACACTCGGAGCAAAGCACCTAACTGATCTACCTACCCATAACTCATAGACGTTTGCTCTGCTACATGTACTTTGACACTATTGGTTAAGTATTATTTCAAGATTGCATGTTGCTTGCAATAAATGGATGAAAGGAAATCTTAGCAAGCCTTGCAATTGTAACACAGCAGGTAAATTTACCAGTTTGGTTCTCCTTGATAAGACAAAAAAATGTCCAACGATATATGAAGCCTTGTAAAAATATTTTATTTGTGAACACATATCAAATAGGTCATGATAATCAACAAATTACATTTATAAAACAGTTTTGTACATCCACGGAATATCTTATCTCGACAGTTTATGACCCCCTTCTTGACGTCTGTAGTTGAAGGAAGGTCCATGTATTCACAAATACCTAAACCTGTATCCAAGGAATGTATATTGCACTAAATGTGTTGGTGGTCTTCTTTTTTGATACTTGAGGAGCAAAATATAAAGAATTTTGACAAAGAATGATTTAAAACCAAATTTACAACTCTTTCACCGGTGCTGGACACACTATGATGTGTATTAGTGTGTCAAGCACCAGTGCATTCTCATTAGAATTTGACTTATAATAAGTTTTCCATTTAAATGTTGAATATTGATGGTTCTTAACTTGCTTTAGGGTATTCTCTATTGGCGATTCTTTACACAGTCACTTGTTCTTATCAGCATTCATTTCTGACTTGGTCTTTTGATGAAAATTAAAAATTGAAATTAACAGTTACAATTAGTACATCATATTTGGTTTTTCTAGCTGATCCAGATCCAGAAATTATGATTCCTGAAGAAAATAAAATCAATGTATCCTGGTTATTTCAAATAGGATTTTTTCTGGACATCCTAGAAATAGTAAAGAACACTCAACATAGCAAATAGTTACAAGTGGATCATTTAAACAAAATATCCTAATACTAGTTCAGAACCATCAACATAGAATATTCTAGTGCTAGGTAAGAACCATCAATATAGAATATTCCAGTGCTTATAAAGAACCATCAACTTAGAATATTCTAGTGCTAGGTAAGAACCATCAATATAGAATATTCAAGTGCTACACTGTAGGTAAGAACCATCAATATAGAATATTCTAGAGCTTTTTAAGAACCATTAACATAGAATAGTCAAGTGCTACACTGTAGGTAAGAACCATCAATATAGAATATTCTTGCTGTAGTACAGAACTGTAAACATAGAATATTATAGTGCTAGATCAGAACCATCAACATAGAAAATATGCTAGCACTAGTTAAGAACCATCAATATATACTATTCTAGTACTAGTTAAGAACCATCAACACAGAATATACCACGGTATTGTAAGTCAAGAAGGTAATGTCAATAAATGCAATATTTAATAATCATGGTAATAACCATCAACACAGAATATGAAATTTGACAGGTTTATCACTTTGGAGTCATCATTAATCTGAGTCATGAAGGGAATAAAGAATACAATTGGCAGCTTGGATGGTGGATTGGTTTGTTTGTGTTTTATGTCCTATTACATATAACAGTTATGGTCATTTAAGGACGTGCCAGGTTTTGGTGGTGGAGGACAGCCGGAGTACGTGTAGAAAAACCACCAACCAGCGGCACAACCCATTGGTGTAGGGCAAGCGATCGTAACAATAAGATATGCCTTTACCACTCAGCCACAGTGGCACTTGGTGGATTGGTGAATGTATACGTATATAGGACAACCTCATCAAAGTAACAATACATATATTTGGTCCCATACCCTTTTGAAACATATTACATGTATCCTGAATATGGTCATCACTCTAACATAAACAATTTCGTAGTTTACAACTTTCACACTCTAACATTTGAACTTCCTACCATCACTGAGCGTAATACAAACAACTGCCATTCTCTTGACGCAGTTTCAGAATAGTCTGATACATACGTAATTAATTTGTGTCCATGTCATGGTTCTAGTCTCTGAGTATTTACGTCTCTAACCAACTCCTTGCTTTACACCACAGTGTTACACTGTGATAACTAAGTTAACAGCTATCACTTCAATTCACAACATAATTCAACATACATATAATGCCCCTTGTTTCACTTTTTATCATGCAAACCAAATATTTCATGGTCCCCTTTTCCATTTTTTTCTGAACATTCTTTCACATGTCTCCCTTAATAGAGTGTCAAACTCTCTATAATGACAACACTACACTGAACAATACGTGGCAGTATAATTAACTGTACATGTACACAAGAGGAATATGGATCACTCTCAATCCTAAATAAATCTGTGTTTTTCTGGGAACAGATGACCTGGCAATATACCATTTCTACTTGCTATAAAGAATGCATTTTCCCCTTTCGACTTCACCTATGCTGTACTTGCAGTAAGCGTGCTATTGTCGATTTTAACTTTAGACTGTATAGATTGGAAACTTACATCTAACAGACGTACATGGTATCACCAACCCTCAGCTTGACCTCTATAAACTGGTTTTATATACATTGTATATCCATGAGGTAAGATGACCGTCATCTTACCTTGACCTCGAGTTACAAATGTCTATGTGGTTAACCCTTTCACCACTGTAGACAATAGTGGACGCAAGTCACCTAGGGGTGAAAGGGTTCAGATACCACAATTGACCTTGAATTCAACAGACAAGTTTTAGAAATGTCCTTGAGGAACCTTGACCCCTTTAAATGAGTTAAAAATGTTCATGTGGTTAAGATATCAACATTGACCTTGACCTTGCTGAATGAGTTAAAATTATCTATATATTTTAGATGTCATTGTTGACCTTGACTTCATAAGATGATACATTGACCTCTCTAAACAAATTATAAATGTCAACATGGTTCAGATGTCCTCGTTGACCTTGACGTCTTTAGATGAGACCTTGACCTCACTAGATGAGTTTTGAAACTCAACAAGTCTAAGTTGTCATCGCTGACCTTGACCTCTTTAGATGAGCTAATATTATATATGTCAATATAGTTCAGATGTCATCGTTGACCTTGACCTCGGCCAGTACAGAGTGGGGGACATTGCTGACCAGGGAGTCCCCAAGGTTGTTCCAGATTTTGTACTCCATTCCGGTCAAATACTCCTGCACTGAAAAAAGTATAACAAAATAATTTTGTAAACCAATATGAACAAAAGAATCCATTACTGCCTCTAACTTCAGATGAATTTCATTGAACTAAAAGATTTAAAGTAACTATATTAGGTACAGAAAATTTCTTTCTAAAGCTATAGATCAGGGCAACAAGAAGTCTTCTTTATGCAATATTTTTGTGCAAACAAATAACTTTTTGTTAAATATTAAACAACAGATGATTTCCCAAAGGAAAAAACCCTAATAAAAACAAGAAGACAATGTCATCGATATCTCCCGCTTGCAGTGTAAAAGTTATTAAAAACATGAAACGTAAAACAAAGGTCAAAATTAGCATATGCAATATGCATTCAGTAGAGCAACCCTAGATACACAATTGATGCAAGTATAATCAACATAGCCCTTGTAGTAGGCAAGATATAGATGAGAGCAATTCTTCTTAACCAGATGCATAGTTCAACGAACGGACGGACCCCATTTTTATATCCCCCTCCAACTGGTTGAGTGGGGGATAAAAACAATAGAACAAATGTCACTCTATCTCCCAATATTTCGGCCTTCTGGCCTTCTTCAAGGGCAAAAGTCAACAATTGTTTCAAGTAAACGTCCATCTTGCTTCTTCGGAGGTAGAAGAACTGACATACAAATGTATGATGTCACAATGACTCATTGAATCTATGACATCATGATAGCATGCCATCATTTAAAAAAAAATCACTTCTGGATCGACACAATTGAGTGTACTCTAAGATGTAATAATTTTTTTTATGTTTTGAAGCATTAGATATTTGAGTCTTTATTGTTTGTATGAGAACAGTACCTGTTGTTAGTTTAAACTTGACGTTGGGAGATACTTGTACAGACTTGGGATCAATCTGACATCCGGAATGAGTAAAATCTGGAATTTTGAAAAACAGCTGAAAAGAAAAAAAAAGTGTAAACATTTATATTACAATGATTATGAAACAAGTTATTTCAACTTGTATTAATCAGTCTTGCTGGCCCAGATGATTAGCGGGCAGAGGGTCTTAATGTGGGAGGAAACTGGAGTACCAGAAGACCAAGTGCTTGGGCAGGTGACCCTATAACGATCTTGGGCATAGAACCCCAGCCGCCTGGTGAAAGGCGAGTGCGTTACGCTGACCACATTTAGAACAATAAATATAATTTTTAATTCCTGTGTAATGTTAGACACAAATTTGAATTTTGGAGTTGGGATCAACCTATGTCAGTCCTTGACACAGAGTCTTAAAATATTTTATGGATATATATGTTTACCTTCATTTCTCGGGATTGAAAAGAGAATGATTTCTCTTCTTTAAAGGAAAGTGGTTTAATGCTTTCACTATTATTTTCCTACTACTCTGAATTCTATTTCCATATCAGCTATACATTTTTAGAGCATAAACTGATAGTTTTAAGGAGCATTTCTAAAGATAAGCCATATCTACACAGTTATTTTAAGAGCATATTTAAAAGTCCAACACAAATTTCCCCAAACTTGAGGAGTTTGGTGTGGTTTTATAGGGTTACACATCCTATTAACAGCTAAGGTAATTTAAGGTGTGCCACCATGTGTGTAATGTATTCACGTAGGTGTGTATCTGTGCTGGAGGTGGCACATTGATGTAAAAATACCTCCTTGAAATATTGACAAACTCGCGCTTACAACCACTTCAAAACAAAGATATTAATCAATCAAATAAAACAATACACTGTCTTTCATTAAATAATAAAATAGTAAAATATAACATTTGATATAGCGCCCTATCTAGCTAGAATAAGCCACTCAAAGCGCCTTACAATACATAGATATACAATTTATACAATAAGCATACAATTTTGAGGAATTTGCAGGAGCTGCCTTATCAGGCGCTAATTACTAGTCCTATGCCACCTTGCTAATATCTCCCTATGTGTGTATGCCTGCGTGTGTGCTGGAGATGTATTGTGTTCTGTTTGTAGTGGAACCGTGCTTCCAACGGCATCGTTTATAATGCCACCTCACTTGAATGCTACAACACAGATACCGCAACATCCACCCCAGACCATTTTATACACCACCTGGGTTGTTGGAGTTGTGTGAGCAAGAGAAAAACACTTCCTCTTAACATTCCATGCGTACGACGACTTCGGGGATCGAACCCCAGCTACCTGCATAGAAGGCCGAAGTGTTACCCACTTGATCATAAAAAACAAGAAAATAAAATAAATCTTACCTTAGCGTAGGAGTTCTGTCCCACACAGAAGGCGTCTTCGTGGGCCCCTGGTGTCTTACTGTCCGTGAAATGGACAGTAGCATCAAGACTTGTGGACAAGGACTTGCTGGGGAACCTCTGACCTATAAACATAAATACAAGGTAATAGTGTTATCCTTTCAAATAAAATCTGATCACAAAGAAAAACAAGACCATATTTATACATGAGTACCACTGCTAAAAACTGATTTTATGCTTTGGAAACTGTTCTTTCTGGAATGACTATAGCTTTTTGATAAATAATTTCTGAATAGGAAATCTGGATCCATATTCATGAAACCGTTCTCATGTTCAAGTAAGGACTTTGTGCTCAAGCCTAATTTCTTTTTCCGTTATAAATTCATAAAAAATGTTCTTTTTTAATGATTTGGAAAAACATTGAAGAGACTTAAAGTCGAAAACTGTTTCCAATATTTACATTTGACTTTTTGATCCTTTGACAAGATTAAAGCGAGTTACAAGAAAGTTGGTTTGAGCACAGAATCCATGCTTGAGCATGAGAACCGTTTCATGAATACGGGCCCAGGCCTTGTGGAACTTTAAAGAAAAAGAAAAAAAATGAAGCAAACAAAACAAAATCAACAATAATCTTTGAGAGTGAAAAATTCAACAGCAGTACATTTGGGCTCGTATTCATGAAACCATTCTCATGCTCAAGCATGGATTCTGTGCCTAAGCATTATTTCTTGTTCAAGTTATAAATTGATAAAAGAAATCCCATTTTGTCAATGATTCGGAAAAAAACTTATAGAGATGTAAAGCTGAATACTGTTTTCAATTTTTACATTGAACTTTTTTATCGTTTCATAAGATTTAAGTGATTCACAAGAAAGTTGGTTTGAGCACAGAATCTATATTTGAGCATGAGAACAGGAATTTAACTCTAGACTTCAGATCATTATACTATCGCTATTACCGACTGAGCTACCAAAATAAGCAAAAACATGATAGATCATACTTGATAATCTATATTTTTTCAGCATTTCTCATATGATATTCTAAGATATTTTCTACATATTTTTTATGACTGTTTTTGTAACGTAGTGTTTCTATCTTGTATGCTAACTTCCTGTCAAAAACCTGGGTTACTGTACATACAGTTACTCATGTTTTGTTTATAACTGATGATAATTTTGAAAAGTGCATCAGAATTGATGGTTTGTTACATTCAAGTACTAAATTGTGAATTATTAGACAATATATAGAAAATATTTTAAGGGAGAAAACTTGAGCACAAAACATGTCAAAATATAGTTTACACATCACCAACTTACCAACATTCCAGACGAGGATCCGCCGATCAGGGGAGACCATCACACTTCCCTGACTAGGTGTGGCGTCATATGTCCCAATTACACCTCTGAATCATAAGGTCATAGTTTAAATGCTATGTTCATAAATATATCACACCAGGGTGAGACAGGATGTATAGTCTGTTATATCATTAAAAGATAGGTTTGACGACTCATATTTTAGATGGCAAAAGTCCTGTCTAGTAAATTAATTTAATGTATTATGTGAACAAAATTCTTTACCATGCAAAAGTATCATTCACTTCAAATAAGGACTGAATGCCGTTTTTTCAATGTTCATGCCGGTGTAGAAGTCATTTCCTTCCCCACCTGAAAGTTTCCCCGGGGAAAAAATCAGCTAGCTAATTCTTTCCCTGGGGAAGAAATAGGCTAGCTGATTCTTTCCCCGGGGAAGAAGTGGCTGTTACACCGGTATGAATGCAAATTGGTTCATATTCCATGAAGCCTGTTATAATTACTTCTAAAGCTTGACTTATATCATTCAAGGCAAAAGGCGAAGCCTCAAAATGGCCCTGATCAAATTGCATTCATAACACTATGAGCGCAATTTCTACAGGTCATGCTTATAGAGGAACTTGCAGTGGAAATGTAAACATACTGTTATGTTTGCAATTTCGGTTCTAATGTGAATTAGTCAATTTAACATACAAAATGTATACCATTACCAAAACATTATCGTTCAACAAAACTTCTACAAAATTGTTAAAAAGTATGTCCTTCTAATCCAACTTGAAGTTGAATTGTGTTTTTTTTTGTAATTATGTGAAAAATTCAGAAGATTTTTTGTAAATACAAATTTCGTAATAGAAACATAAACATCAGGTTTTGGAAACGCAAGCTAGACCTCAAACTTAGTTGCAATATGGCACTTCTTGAATTACGTCATTTTAACTCTAAGGTTCATAGAAATTATCAAATTCAAACAGCATAACTTCTTAATTCATTGAATTTTATATATGCAATGTAAAAAATCATTTCTGTTGATTCAACAATTTGCAGATTTACCAAGTACACAAAAATTAAAGTTTGAGGCTCCATGTTTGTAACATAACAAGATGCTATACTACATTAGAGATATGACAAAGGTTTGGACTGAATATATTTTCTGTTATTTAAAGATATGGACCAAATTACCAGGTATCATCACTAGAAAAAAAGAAACTGTACAGTAGTAACAGTGAATAACATATGTGATGAATTGAGTCTCGACTGGTTGTGAATTTCTGATGGTACAAACCTATTGTGAAAAGGAATCTGTAGTTCGCAATACTCCAAGTTGTTTCTTACTCTTTCACTCATTTTTAACTTGACAGTCAATTTGGCAGTTTTTCCATCCATCTGAAGAAATAAAAAGTTAAATTTCTAACAGGTTATACAACTGACTTAATTTTGTTTTTTTATTTATATCTTTTTTAAATTCGAATAACCTGGTGCTAGCAAAATATACTGTATACCAGTGTCATATTAAATTTTCATCCCCCATAAAATACTCATCCGGATGACTGGGAAATATTTGCCGCACATTAAGTTTCATTTTTGTTTGCCCTATTTATCATGACAGTGAATTTAAGTATACAACATGCAACATATAGAAACAGCATGTTAGGGTGAGATTAACACTAGGAGAACATGGATTTTTTCGGAAAAGGGTGAATATTTGACTGGGCGAACATTTCCCGATCTACATTAACTGGTAGCTGTGCTAGACTAAACTGTGGGTTAAACTAGTATTTTCATGATGTTAATTTTCTTTGAATATACTCTGAGCATCGGTGTCGGTGTAAATTCTTACCCTCATCTCGTAAGAGCCTTTTATGGGTACCTCCTTCAAACAGGACACAGTGTAATGGCAGAGAATGAACATCTCAGTGGGGGGTATAAACCGTACACGACGGGGCGTGGCTCTCATGTCCGACGGATCATCTACAGAGAAAAAAACACAGGTCATCTAGCGACACAAAAGATATAGAATTATCTGCAGAGAGAGAGGACAGGTCATCTAGCGACACAAAAGATATAAAATTATCTGCAGAGAGAGAGGACGGGTCATCCAGAAAGTTAAACAATGCAGTAAGTACAAAACGTGTATGTTGTACAATGCAGTAGACATGTAGAAGTTACATGTATGTGTGTGTGTATATTACATGTATGTAGAAGGTATGTGTGCGGAAACAATCAACCAATAAAAATACAGATGTGAAGTTGGCAAGCTATTGTTATCACTTCAATCAGAACTTCTTTTTCTTAAATGCCTTTAAAGTGTTTTTATAGTATCATAAATCTGTTTATAATGAAAACTGGTGTATTAAAGGCATATCTAGCCTGCACCCTCCATTTGAGTTTTTTTACACTATTTTTCATGACAACAGTACTAGTATTGAGTATTGTAAGTGTAAGTATAAGCAGTTTAAGGGAGGTAACTCCTGAACAAATATTGACCAGTACTTGCCACCTGGCTCCAAAGGGTAGTTCTCTAATTAGAAAGAAGTTTTGTTTTTCTACAGTAAAATCTCTTAAACTACAGGTAAATAATGTGCACAAATTGTTGATATGGAAATTGGAAAAGGTCAAAACCCATATTGACACTCTTGAAGTAGTGACTTCTGGGATACTAGACAGTATTCACTAAGACTTTGTTTGATCAATTTCCATTTTATATTTGTCAATAATCATATGTTAAATCCAATTTTCAAATGCAATTTCCTAAAAAATAGGACATGTAGATATTTTTTTTGTATATTACCTGAAGGTTGTCACTTTATACTCAAGGAAATATTAAAAATTCCGATTTTTACATAACATGCTTATATAAACAGCTAAAGCTTCACGCAAGTAAGTTTAAGATAAACACGATAGATCTTCTGTGTAGTTGTTTAATTTTGGGAAGCTACTATTTCAACATTACCCTGATCAGAATTAGTTCATGGGGATTAAATGTTTGCACAACATGACCATGCAGGTAAAAATATTGTGCCCACCTGGGTACTTTTGCATGTCAATGATTTATTTTAAAATGTTTTGAATAAATAAAATAAAATGTGACATCGAATTGTTGTTTTATCATCTTTACTCTGCAGTCAACAGGTAAACAGGTGTAAAAAAAGGCATATCTAGGCCACACCCTCTGTTTGAGGTTCTAGTAGACTTTCTTACTTTTGCATCTGTAAATATATCTTAAGGGATATTATAATTCATGGTTATGATATTCGCTGGATTTTCAATTTCAATGCTATCATTGATGACCAAAAATATAACGAAATTAAACCCGGGCCACGCTAATATTATCAACTATACAGTATACATGGTTGACCCTCCTCTAAGAACAAATACATTTACCAAAATTCTCTTCCTATGGCAACAGAACCCTAGCCATCAAAACATTTTCCAAATTAAATTCCTACTTCGGTATAAATGGTGCCCGTGACCTACCCATGTTGATGGCTGTGGCATCAGCACTTTGAACACACGGGTGGATAATGAGATGGTCGAGGGGTAGATTGTTTCCCTCTGGAGTGTGAGAAACACTCAGTGTTATGTCTGGCTGTGCCCCCTCCAGCTCAGCTTTACAGGAGATGGATCCATACAGGTCCCAGACATCAGGAGTTCCCTCTTTGTTATACTGTAATACAACCAGATAG